GTGATCATGTTATGTGTGTTATTCGTTTATGAATTGATATGTGATGTGATATTATGTTGGTATAGAAGACCCCGGGGGAGACCGTGGCATTGGATATAAGACCATGTGGGGTAGCCCATGGTATTCCTAGGTAAAGACCATGTGGGGAAGCTTATGAAATTGGATGTAAGACCATGTGGGATAGCCCATAGCAGTCCTAGGTAAACACCATGTGGGGTATCCCATGACATTCTTGTTGGATTATATTGCATGGTTTATGTGGCATGTTATAGCTTTATTAGCTAACAGGATATGTGTATGTGAATGTGTGTGGTATGCTCTAGGAAACTCACGAAGCATTTCGCTTGCAGGTTGTTGATTTGTTTCAGGTACTTCTGAGCCCAAGGGTAAGGGCAAGGTGTGATGACGTGGCACACACTCTATCTCTCTTTTTAATGTATTTGGGACCCTCTAATGTTTTAAAAAGGAAAACAATGATGTAATGAATGAAAATATATGTTTGGGAATCTATGGTTTATGAGACTGATTTTGATTAACTTAAAAATGAAAAAATTTCTTTGTAAAGTTGGGTCGTTACAAGTTGGTATCAGAGCCTTGGTTCGAGGGATTCGGGCACATCCTCGAGTGTGTCAGGTCTCAAACTAAGGAGGTGATAAAATGTTTTCAAAAGTAACCTAAAAGGAATTTAAAAGAAACCCAAAAGATGAGAGTGTGACGCACGTGATCAGCCGCGCCAAGTAAGTAGTTTCCCAATTTGAATAACCATGTGATACTAATATTGAGCTTTGTTGATTATATGGAACCTGCTAAGTGTATGTTTTTAAAATTGTATACGATTAGGAGCTTATAGCCTCAGAATGATTGATTTGGACTTATTTTCTTTTCCTCTTTTGGATATAGTCTTAGTGTAGAATCTCTTATTCGAAAGTCTATTTGATTCTTTCCGTGCATAATTTGCATGCATAAAAGCAGCCTATCATGATTGGTTTTGTTGATATGAGTAGACTGAGTGTTAGGACAGCCTGCAGCTAATGTATTTGGTAATTGTGGGATATGGTTGGGTTGTGGGATGAATCAAAGTTATCAGGTAGAGCAGTGCGTAAAGGTACAAGTAGATGTGGAAGGTAGTATTGGGCCCGTACTACTAGAAGCACAAGACCTGTACTTGAAGCATTGCTAGATCTGAGGACCTCGAGGAGGACCAGTTTGGGAAGGTCCCTTATATATAGAAATCCTGATCATTTTGATTTATGATATTTCAGTTTAGCATGGTGATGACACGGTTGGGAACAGGGGGATCAGGATCGGGATCTGGATTCGGGGCTGGGTCAGGTGGTACTACTGATGGTATTGATGAGAGGTTGCGTGAGTTGATTGCGGCCGAGGTTACGAGGGGCATCCATGATGCAACCCCAGTCATCTTTAGGACGGTCAAGGAGGGTATGATGGAGATCATGGAGGAGAGACTTAGGGCATTCAGGGTTGATGTTGTTGCGGGTCAGGGTGGAGCCCGAGCTCCCTCGTTTTAGGAGTTCAAGGCATGTGGAGCTCCATAGTTCTCCTTGGTCAGGGATCCCATTGTGAGCAGACGCTGGGTAGCGGACACTGAGAATGCCCAACGCTCGAGTTCTTTCCCGGAGGAGGCAAATGTTGGATTTGCTTCATGTATGTTGAGGGATAGGGCCCGAGATTGGTGGGGCCAGGTTACTAGCCAGGTGGGGGTAGCCAATGTGGCTGAGATGTCATGGGCTAAGTTTGTTCGATGTTTCGATGCGGAGTTTGCACCACCTATTGAGGTGCAACAGTTGGTGAGGGAGTTTCATGGGTTATAGGCTTACAGCAGACCACCAAGACTGTGGTGGAGATCACCGCCAAGTTTCGAGAGCGAGCTTTGTTGATTCCTCAGTATGCTACAGATGAGGCGGACCCGATATCATGTTATGTTGAGGGATGATATTCGGGAGTTTGTGAGCTTTACATGATGCAAAACCCTGAATGAGATGGTGGAGAAGGCCCGTGAGAGGGAGATGGAGTTGGAGTCCCGCACGAAGCGGAAGACTGAGCAGGTATAGGCAGCAGGGGCTCAAGCTAAGAAGTCTAAGACCTATGATTCTTCAGGTAGGGGCTAACAGGGCTGGTACCGGTGTGCCAAGTGCGGGAGGTTTCATAGTGGGGCTTGTTGGACAGCCGGGATATCAGAATGTTACTCTTGTGGCCAGCAGGGCCACATGAATAAGGATTGCCCCAAGAAGGGCTTGATATGTTTCCAATACAACCAGACAAGCCATAAAAAGGCCGATTGTCCGAGGTTGCAGGGAGGAGGAGGATCAGTAGCGGTTCCCGCACCCGCCACTATGAGGATTACTGACGGCCGTCCTGTCAAGGCGGAAGCTCCAGCAGTGACAAGCCGCGCTTTTCAACTGACTACTGAGGAGGATACGGCAGCACCAAACTTTGTGGCTGGTATGTGTTTATTCTTCTCTGTCTTGTGTTTGAAAATTGCTTATATGTGTGTATTATGTTTTGCATAGGGACCTTTTTGGTCAATGGTATGTCGGCTCATGTTTTGTTTGATTCGAGTGCTACCCGATCGTTCGTGTCTCTTGCGCTTAGCAAGAAGTTTTGAGACGCGTTGGGGACTTTGGATACCCTGCTCGAGGTGGAGATTGCAGATGATTGCACTGTGAGTGCTGCGAGGGTATTTCAGGACTGTGTCGTGAATGTGCATGGCGAGAGGTTTCGCGTGGATTTAATTCCTATACCATTGCGATGACTGAAGGTGATCATTGGGATGGACTGGCTGGGGGACAATGGGACCATGATCGATTGTGAGCAACAATTGGCACGAGTTCGAACCCCAAGTAGGGGAGAGCTGGTTATTCATGGTGAGAGGGCCTTGTAGGGACCGACCCTCTGTTCGGCTGCTAGGGCAATAAGGTTTCTACAGTAGCGTTGCTCGGGATTTCTGGCTTTTGTTTCGGATACGAGAGCGGAGGCCGTAATGGATTTGGGCAGTGTGCTAGTTGTGCAGGAATTTTGGGACGTATTTCCCAAAGAATTGACAGGAGTGCCTCCGGAGAGGCAAGTGGAGTTTCGTATTGACTTGGTACCGGGTGCCGCCCCGATCGTGAAGGCACCATATCGGTTTGCACCACCCGAGATGCAGGAGTTATCTACGCAGCTTCAGGAGCTGCTAGACCGGGGGTTCATACGTCCGAGTAGTTCCCCATGGGGTGCACCGATTCTTTTCGTGAAAAAGAAAGACGGATCACACAGGATGTGCATTGATTATAGGGAGCTGAACAAGCTGACTGTGAAGAACTGCTATCCTTTGCCAAGGATCGATGATTTATTTGATCAGCTTCAGGGTGCATCTTGGTTCTCCAAGATTGATCTTCGGTCCGGGTATCATCAGATGAGGATTAGGGATGAGGATACACCGAAGACAGCTTTCAGGACTTGTTATGGGCATTATGAGTTTGTGGTGATGCCATTTAGGCTCACCAATGCCCGACAACATTCATGGATCTCATGAACCGGGTATGCAGACCGATGTTGGAACGGTCAATGATTGTTTTTATTAATAATATCCTGGTTTACTACAAAACCAAAGAGCAGCATGAGCAACACTTGAGAGAGGTGTTGGAGACTTTGAGGGCGGATAAGCTTTATGCAAAGTTCTCCAGATGTGATTTTTGGCTACGGGAAGTGCAGTTTTTGGGGCATGTCATTAATAAAGAAGGTATTTCAGTTGACCCAGTGAAGGTGGAGACTGTGATGCGATGGGAGGTACCGAGGAACGCCTCGAAGATTCGTAGCTTCGTGGGTTTAGCGGGTTACTATCGGAGATTTATCCAGGATTTCTCCAAGATTTCTATGCCATTGACCCATCTGACCAAGAAGAATGTGACTTTCCGGTGGGATGAGGATCAACAGAGGGATTTTGATACTATGAGGCAGAGGTTATGTGAGGCTCCAGTCCTAGTACTTCCTGAGGGGTTGGATGATTTAGTGGTATATTGTGATGCAACGATTTCAGGGTTGGGTGCAGTATTGATGAAATGGGGGGCATGTGATTGCTTATGCCTTGAGGCAGTTGAAGCCTCACGAGGCAAATTACCCCACACATGATCTAGAGTTGGGGGCGGTGGTGTTTGCCCTCAATATTTGGAGGCATTATTAGTATGGGGTGCGGTTTATTATCTATACCGATCACTAGAGTCTAAAGTATTTGATGGATCAACAGAACCTTAATATGCGGCAGAGGAGATGGTTGGATGTACTGAAGGATTATGATTGCGAGATCCTATACCATCCAGGGAAGGCCAGTGTGGTGGTCTATGCTTTGAGTCGCAAGGCGATGGGGTTCCCTGTTAGGGACATTTGTATGAGGATGACAGTGATTTCGCCTTTGTTGGAGATGATCATAGGGGCTCAGGTTGAGGGGGTGAAGAAGGAGAAATAGAAAACAGAGAAAATTCAGGGTCAGTATCCTTTGTTTGTCAAGGATAGTCGCGACCTTTTGACTCAGTGTGGTCGAGTGTGGGTACCATTGGCTGGGAGAGTGAGGCAGAGACTGTTAGAGGAGACTCATAAGTCCAAGTTTTCTATACATCCAGGTGCAACAAAAATGTATAGGGACTTGAGACTCAGTTATTGGTGGCCCCACATGAAGCGGGAAATCGCCTGGTTTGTGGAGCGGTACATGACTTGCATGAAGGTCAAGGTCGAGCATCAGCGGCCTCATAACTTAACAATCATACCAAATATCAATGTAAGTTAACAGCCCAAAAATGGGAATGTACTTTACAATGCTTCCCAAAAACCACTATCATACCATTTAACCTAATTAGAACCAAACTTCCAATTCTACCAAACATTATGGATATGAATTGGAAGCTTGTTACCAAAAGACAAGTGTGCCCAAAGTAGATGTTTACAAAAAGGGCAACCTATTTACTAATGCCCATTTTACCCATTGAACCCTTAAACACAACTCCTTACTCTAAAACCCAAGGGGTTTTGGAGGAACCACCACCATCAACATCTTCAACCATTTTCCTGAGCTTCAACTTCCTAATTTTTTTAGAGGGTTTCCTCTTTTTCTCCCAATGGAAATTGTAAGCACCATAACTTCTTCTGGAGGGTAGGACTCTTGCTCCAACCTCTCTCTCTTCAACTATTTCTTCCTCAACCACTATGCCTTCAACTTCTTCTTGCTCAACCTGTATGCCTTCAACTTCTTTTTCTTCAACCTCTCTATCTTCAACTCCTTCCTCAACCTCTTTTTCTTCAATCTGTTGTTCGCAACCTCTCCATAAACCTACAATATGGAGGGGTAGTTAGTAAATCTATAATTTGAAAGCCAAAAATAGTGATTACCAGAACATACCTCTTTCATAGCAGCCACTGCATCAGCATGTGTATATCCAGACATCAACAACTCCTGTAAAGTAAGTCTTTCACTTAACTTCACCTCATTATCATCATGTTCTTGTTCCTGAACATCCTCTGTTGCTTGACTCATACCTTGCTTACCATTAGGTGCATGGGTACAAAGATCAACAAAATCCTCATCACAAGTTAGGGACACATCCTCCTTTGCATTACTCTTATGTTTCTTACCATTAGGTGTTTTCTTTGGTGTTTTGTTCCTTGATCCAGACAATTTAGTTTTCCCTCCTCTCCTTGCTATCATCTTAGTCCTTTTCAGAGGACTAACATTAGGACCACCTAATTGATTACCAGATTCTGAAACTGGGGGAGGTATAACATCACTTCTTGGTATATCAGGCCCACCAACTTGATCACCACATTCTGAAACTGTGGGAGGAGCAACATCACTTCTTAGTATATCAGGCTTAAATAGAGGGAATTGATCAAAGATAGGTTGGCCTCCCCCATCTTTCCTAGGTCTTCCAATCTTCCTTTTTGGGATAGGTGGCTTAGGTACCTCCTCATTTGTGCATGAAATCTTATTATGCCCAAGTTGTTGATACTTTCCACACCTCATAGTCCTAGTAACCTTTAACCTTTGAGAGGGGAATTTGGCATCTTCTCAGCGTCAAAACCTTCTCGAATGCATGAAAAACCCTTTAGCAGTGATGGTTCGTGAAAGGGATTAGCATCTGGTTCTTGGTACATATTCTTTTAATTATATTTTTGCATTTTGGCCTTGGAATCGGCGAGTTGAAGGACCAACTCGTCGGGTAGAAGCGGGATGAGACGCGGAGTTTAAGCTGTGGACTTGATGAGTCGGGTCCCGGACTCGGCGAGTAGGCCCTATCTGGACAAAAACCTTAACCCGAGGGTTTGCACCCTATTTAAACACCTTAACTCGACCTCCTTCATCCCATTTGCTCCCAGAAGACCCCCATAGCAAACCCTAGCCGTTATTGAAGCAATCTAAGGCATTTGGAGTGATTTTGGTGCTTTTATGACCCAAGGAAGGAAGGAAAAGCTTGAAGGATCAAGAGGAGGCTAGAAGGATCCAATTTGGAGCATTATTTGCAGTCTACAGAAGGTATAAAGTCTATACCTTGTTTGTTCTTTTGATACATCCCATTTTGTGGAGTTTTAGGGCTTTTCTAAGCCATTTTGGTCACCAACCATGATTGCAAGCATGGTTAGGGGTTGATGTTTCAGATCTAGGCCCTTAAAGGGGTTACAAGGCAGAAAGGAGTGGCTCTTGCACTCAAAGAAGGCCCCATGCATTGTAAGAGATTGTTTTAGGACCTTTTGAGCTTAAAGTCCCACGCAAGCACGTAAAGATTGTAACTTTACGTGCTAGATCGATTGTAGAAGCATAAATCTATCTTTTGATCAAGGGTTGTACATTAGAAATCGAACATTTAGTGAGAGGATGTGACCAACTCGATGAGTCCATTCTTGTACTCGGCTAGTCCAAGGTTTCTATCCCATATCAGTTGAGGGTCATAAGGACCCAGTTGAGTGTGGAAAGGTTTTAGGGGGTCCCGGGGAGTGACACAACGTTCTGGACTAAGCCATTATTCTAGAAGTTCATGGGACTCGGCGAGTCCATGAGCAGACTCGGCGAGTCCAAGGCAAACTTCTTAAGGATGAAGATGAACTCGAAGAGTTGTTCATACAACTCAGCGAGTCAAGGACAGGACCTGTGTATCAGTTGAAGATGAACTCGACGAGTTGTTCATACAACTCGACGAGTCGGATGAGGATTCAGTCGATGTTCATTTAAAAGGAAAACTCATCGAGTCATCGCCTAACTCGACGAGTAGAGACGGATATAAGGATAAATGGAAGGATAGGGACTCGGTGAGTCAGGTCAACTAGAAGTTGACTTTAACTTTGATTTGCTCAGGGGTAAAATGGTCATTTTACCCTAAGAATAGTTAGCAGTGTATGACTAAGTGTTTTTTGGGAATTATAGCCGGAGGATTTTCGGAGCAGCAGCGGCAACAGTCAGAGGATTCCTGCACAGATCAACAGCTACTATGAGGTGAGTTACCTTCCAGTAGCGGTGGGTCTACGGCCACAATTTCGGCCCACCAGTAGGAGTTGTATGAAGAGATGATTATCTTTGTGATATCATCTAAGTTTGCTACTACCTGATATGTTATATGCTGACATGATATGTTATATGTGATAGTGGTAGAGTTCGGTTGTTAGGACTGAAGGGTAGGTCAGACACCCCATATATGTCTGATAATATATGCTGATATGTTTATATGCTAGCATGATATGTTATATGTGATAGCGGTAGTAGGAGGGGAATAGTCCCCAAGTTCGGTTGTTAGGACCGAAGGGTAGTTCGTACACCCCCAGATATGTTTGATAGTATGTTTATGTTATGATATATGTGATAGTAGCAGTAAGGGGTGGAATAGTCCCCGAGGGTCGGTTGTTATGACCGATGGGCAGGTCAGCACCCCAGAATGGCTTGACATGGGTAGGACGGCACCCCAGAATGGCCGTATGGGTAGGACAGCACCCCAGAATGGCCGCATGGGTAGGTCGGCACCCCAGAATGGTCGTACCGGGTAGGTTGGGCACCCCATAATTGCCCGACAGTATGTATGCTATGTGATTGCATGATATGTGGTATGATGGGGGAACTCACTAAGCTTCGTGCTTACATTTTACAATTTTGGTTTCAGGTACCTCTTCATCGAAGGGGAAGGAGATGGCACGGTAGCGACACATCATACACACACTCTTTGCTTTCTGCACTATGAGTTATTCTGGGAATTATACTATGACATTATTATGTTTTTACGATTCAATTTTCAGATACAAGACATGCTTTTATTAAATGATATGACCGGTTGATATTTTGACACAAATGTTGTGCAAATCACTTAATCAAAAAATGAAATTTTTGGTCGTGAAAATTGGTCCGTTACAAGTTGGTATTAGAGCCCTGGTTTGAGGGATTCGGACACACCTTAGGGGGTGTCTGGACTCCAACCAAGGGATTAAAAGATTTTTACAAGGAAAATGATTTTCTAAAAGCTAATATAAAAGAGTTTTGAGATGGAACAAGTGTGTGATGTGCACAACTGGCCGAGCTCAAGTAAGTTTCCCCATAGTACCCATACGAGTTATATTATGGTTATCAGTTTCAGTAGAACAACATGCTAGAATAGGACTAAGGATCTAGGAATGATGCCTTATGTGCCTGCTTTATGTGCTTCAACTTATGAGAATTGCATGCTAGTATTGTGTAGACAGTAGTAGGATAGCCTCTTTAGGTTACGCCTGGCAGTATGAGCTCAGCATTATATGCTAATTCAGCTTCTCATTATGAGGACAAATTTGCTTGAGTAGTTTTTCCTGTGTTCGAATGCCGCTTGATTTGTGCTTTGTGGGACTCTGAGTGATGGTAGTTAGCCATTAGGTGAATACGTCATGTCACATGTGATCAGGGTTGAATAATCGTAGAGTGCTGGACTTGGCCCTATTGTGCATCTCTTGTATGAGTCTAACCGTTGTAGGGACGAGTCTGTTACTCAAAGGATTATCTGAGCCTCATCACATGTGATGGTATTCAGGTAATGGCTAATTGGGATTACAAGGAGGCCTTCAGCAGTTGAGGACTGGTTTGGGTGGAGTTAAATGTTTTCCCTAGGGTAAGCCTAGGATGGGAATAGTAGAGAATCAGCAGTGGTGAAAGGGACTTGGTGGAGTCAAGACAGTCCTTGAGGAAGGTATGGATAGATGTGGAAGGTAGTATGGGCCCGTACTACTGAAAGCAGAGGATCCGTACCTAAATTGAGGAAGGCTGAAACAAGACCAGGGAACTTGTAGTGGATGTGATCACTCGAAATGTATCGGTATCACTAACGGTTGGCATTATGTTTTATAGAATGGTGGTACTACAGTAGAGGCCAGTAGTTGGCAATTCAGGTTCGGGATGAGGTTCCGAGCTAGTAGATGAGAGGCTACGCGAGTTCATCGCATCAGAGATCACCAGAGGCATCCTTGAGTTGACCCCCATCATCTTCCGGTCGATCAAGGAAGGGATAGTCGAGATGATGGAGGATCGCCTCAGGGCATTCAGGAGTGATATGGCATCTGGCCAGTCAGGATCCTGCACACTATCCTTTAAGGACTTCAGGTTCAGTGGTGCACCAGATTTACACGAGGCGAAGGACCCCATTGCTGCCAGATGATGGAATGCAGACATTGAGCCCGCGCAGCTGCAGGAGTTGCTAGACAAGGGATTCATTAGACCGAGTAGCTCCCCCTGGGGAGCCCCGATTCTGTCTGTGAGGAAGAAGGATGGGTCGCATCGGATGTGTATAGATTATCGGGAGTTGAACAAGGTAATGGTGAAGAACCGTTACCCACTCCCAAGGATTGATGACGTCTTTGACCAGCTACAGGGAACATCTGGATTCTCCACGATTGATTTGCGTTCAGGATATCATCAGATGAGGGTCAGAGAGGAGGATGTACAGAAGACTGCGTTTCAGACGCACTATGGCCACTACGAATTTGTGGTGATGCCCTTCGGGCTCACCAGTGCTCCTGCCGTGTTCATGGACCTCATGAACCGCATGTGTAGACCGATATTAGACCGGTCTATGATAGTGTTTATTGATGATATCTTGGTTTACTCCAAGACGCAGGAGGAGCACGAGGAGCATCTGCGAGAGGTTCTGTAGACTTTGAGGAGGGAGAACTTGTATGCTAAGTTCCCTAAGTGTGATTTCTGGTTGCACGAGGTGCAGTTCCTTGGGCATATCTTCAACCAGAATGGGATCTCAGTGGACCCGGCCAAAGTGGAGGTCATGATGAGATGGGAGGTTCCAAAGTCTCCATCCGAGATTCGGAGTTTCCTAGGATTATCCAGATACTATCGGAGATTCATCCAGGATTTCTCCAAGATAGTCGTACCCCTGATCAGGCTAACAAGGAAGGTCGTGGTCTTTTGTTGGGGGCCTGAGCAGCAGGCCGCGTTCGAGACACTGAGACAGAGATTGTGCGAGGCGCCAATCTTAGCTCTGCCAGAGGGCATGGAGGATTTTGTTGTGTACTGTGATGCGTTTATCTCAGGTTTGGGTGCAATATTGATGCAGAGAGGGCATGTCATTGCTTACGCGTCGAGGTAGCTAAATCCTCACGAGGCGAACTACCCGATGCATGACTTGGAGTTGGGAGCTGTTGTATTCGCCCTCAAGATTTGTCGTCATTACCTCTATGGGGTTCGTTGTACCGTCGACACGGATCATAAGAGTTTGAGGTACCTCATGGATCAGCCGAATCTAAACATGAGGCAGCGTCGGTGGATGAACGTGGTAAAAGATTACGATTGTGAGATCCTTTATCATGCGGGTAAGACCAATGTGGTGGCCGACGCGCTCAGCCGCAAGGCACACTACTAGAAAAACAGCCTTTTACGACGCTCATTGCGCGTCGTAAAAGGCTCAGACGACGCGCAAATGCGCGTCAAGGAAGGCCCTGTCATAAAGAGAGACGACGCGCATTTACGACGCGCGTTTACGACACGCAAGGAAGGCCCTGTCAAGGAAGGCCATGTCATAAAGGAAGACGACACACATTTGCGTGTCGTAACCTTACGACGCGCGTGTTAATGACACGCAATGCGTATCAAGGAAGTCACTGTCAAGAAAGGCCATGTCATAAATGAAGATGACACACATTTTTGCGTATCGTAATTTTATATGTTTAAAAAAAATATTATTTATAGATTTACTAATTTTCAAATTAAATTTGCATTTAATGTCTCATAATAAATAAAATATCATATACGAAAATACAATCCATTACATAAAATTTAATATATATCATACAAATAATCATTTCATGGAAAGATAAAACAATTCAATAAAAGTTGTAACGAAATTTACAAACGAATTAGATACAAGAAATATGAAAAACTTGAAATCCCAAGATTAATAGTTCTAACAGAAGCTTCACGTGAGATACATACAGTTGGACCAGTAAGCAAGGATGTTCCCGAATCCACAATAGCAGCACAAGAACACATACACGATATCTTCTGCAAGAAGGTGCCGGTCCAAAACTACTGTTGAAGGTTGCCATGATAGATGTTAAGATTTAATAATAACAAGAAACCAATCAGTGTCTATAATAAGCTAGAAAACAAGCAACCAATAAACAAAATAAGCAACTAATTAAGTCAAACTATGACTATGCATACAAATTGGTAGCAAACAAGTAAATAAATGAAGAAAGTTACCTTCCATTGAAATGGATTAACAAGTTCAACATATTTCCCATGGCCTAAAGAAGGTAAGTCAACACGAGAAGGAATATAGTCAACACGAACAACAACATGCCACTCTTTTGTAACAATGTAAGAATTAAGTGTAAAAGTTAATACAAAAGCTGTAAATCATGAAATGCTCATAAAAAATCTAAATCTCTTCAAAGATACCTCATATGTAGTAACTCCAACCCCAACCATCTCTAACTTTTCCCACTCTTTTTTAATAACTGGAAAACAGGATTCATATATTGCAGAAAATTGACCAAGATCTGAACCAATATCAGAGAAAATGAAGTAATCAAAATGTGCACATGTACACATGGAAGTTTAGTAAGGATAAAACTGGAATAGACAAACTTACCTTTCTCAAGATCTTATCACCAACTCCACTTGGTTGGCCAAGGTCTGCAATCTCCCATAGTGGAATATCAAGCAGTATCCTTATTACATTTTCATCCAGAAAAGGAAACCTAGCCTGAAGTGACCAAACCACACATGTCCATTCAAATTCAATCCAACTAAATGTGTAATGTAATGTGTTTCTTTCTGGACTTAACACATAAAGAACTGAACGACTTAACAAAGAAGCAAGTGGTACCTCTTTGCCATTATCAGCGATGCATCTATCATCTCTACCTAGGTTTCTCTTCCATATTCTCTGCATATCTAACTTCATTTCCTTATTTAGACCACCCCAAATAAACATATCAACAAATAATCATCAAAACTTACTTCAGTATTTTATCTTGCTTCTTTTACAGTATGAGATAATACTGATTAATAAGAAGTAACCTGCTTTCTCTGAACTTAGTTCTATGGCGCCCATACCCACCACACTGCTCATCTGTACCAGAACCAACCAATAGGATCCTGGAATCAGACTTGTATTTAACCTTTAAATTATTATTTCCATTTATTTCTTCACTCACACACCCATCACCACCAGCTGCCAACCAAAAGGCAATCCCAATATTAAGGTCCTGTAACACCAAAAATAAGTTAAAAGACTTTCATGAAACCTTATAATAACATTAAAATTTAAAAAGAAAATGTGCAATTAACAGATTAATATCCATGTATGTATTTGAAGGATAAATAAGTGACAAGACACTTTTTGTCTCCATGGTCAATTTCGACAATTCTGCATCTATTTCTACTAGATTCCATCTGCATTCAAAATCTGTTTGTATTATGAAAGAACTACAATAAAGTCAAAGTCAGAGGGTAATAAAAAAAAGTCAAAAACGCCAATTACCTTCTCAAAGGGGCAATTTTTCTCAGCTCTTTCACACCAGCCATTGCAAAGATGCATATAATACTGGTCATTACCTTTTAGATTCCCCATTTAAGATAACACTTAATTAAATGAAACTCAGGATTTTGTGAGATTTACATTAAAAGGTTATAAAGAATAATAATAGGTAACATACCAGGTACCGTGTAGGCTCCAAGGGTAAAAAAATATTTGCAACTGCTATCCGTACACCATTAAGGGCTAGTGTATATGGCTATATAAATCAGGAGCTTCAATTTCCAGTGCTTCTGCTGCATGTACCATTAACTGATGAAGTTTTGAAAGCTGAAAAAAAAATTAAATCATTGTCTTGCTTCTTATTTACATGTATTTTGGATGTATAATAATAGGACAATTACAAGTTATATGTAATGTAATTATTAGTGGACAAAAACTGTTGAATCCATATACCTGATGCATTGAGATGAAAACATAACATTTATAGTGTGAGTGTAACCAAATAAAGCTGCAGATGTAAAGCCAGTGAAGATCGTAGCAACTGTTGATGAATACTTTTTCAAAATTGTGTTTGCATGTTATAAATAATAGATATTAAAGTTAGTCTTCCACTATTTATAATCTTTTTATTGTGTAAAAAAACAAATGCTTATAATAATGTTACCAGCATATTTGAAGAAAAAAGAGGATACAATTCCTTGAGCTGCATTGTTCACAATTAAAAGAATGGTAGCTTTTGAATGTCCTTGTAAAATATCAAAGCTTTCAGGACCTGGAAAAAATAATCACATGGAAATAAGGGTTTTCTGTGAATGATTAACATAATTAAAAAAAAGTAAAAGGGTAAAATGGTCAGAGTAAAATCCAAGGGAGTAAGTACCTTTAATAATGATAGTTCCAAGCATGCCTAGGAAGTTGAAAACAGCACCATATCCGTATAAAAACAAATTCTGAAATCCCAATAAGTTCTTCCACCAATCTTCTAAAAAAGTCTGCATATGTTCTCTGGGCAAACTCAAATGTCTATAAAAAAAGCACAAGATTTGTAAAATTTAGTGAAAAGCTACTACTGATATTACAAGACTAAAAGGGTATTATACTAAAATTTCATCTACAAGTTTCAATTTCTGTTTGCATGATTCACAGAGTACTTTGGGTTTGTTTTCCCTCCAAGCTTCCTTGCAGTGAGTTGTACAGCCGCCTGTCATTGCCGCTGATAGTAACTGCTCTTCCTTTTACTGCATCCATCACAAGGGTATATAAGTAATTCCATAACATCTTGAGTAAATTACAAAGTTTTTCCTTGTGTTGTACTTTTTGTTTTCAATATTATCCAAAAACAATTTTTTGTTGTTTTTTGACCATTGTTATCTTTTTCCAAAATCACACATTAAGCCATATCACGTGTTTTGCACACACAAGGGTATTCTCCATGATTTTATAGCATAAATTCTAGGTTAATTCAGAAATACAATAAAGCCAAACCTCTCCAAATTTAATTGCATCTAATGAGGATCCACTTCCAGATTTCCTTGGTTTACTGCCAACCATCATCACATATGTCAGTGAAAATGTTGTGGTAAAAGTAAAATCTAGAGTTTTGTCTAATGATAGAAAGGAAGGTAGCAATAGAACAACCACTTAAATTTTTTAATGTCCTCCCCAACATCACAACATTTTAGAACAAAATCTGTAATTTCGTGTAGCAATAGAACAAGAGTGACGATGAGTTCAGGAAATTGAACCCTTGGATTCGATTTGGAAAGACGGGGACTTCGAAAATTGAACCTGTGTTTGGTTCAAAGCGACATTTGGAGTGGAGATTCTGATATGGAACACCAGCAGCCTGAGCTTGCAATCTAGTATGCATAATCAGGCAATACATGAAGCCAATCAATTCTCCCAATCAAATCAGGGAAACCAATACAGTTGGCATCGAGATCCACGACCAGAGTATTATAGAGGTCGAGAATGAAATTGGAACTAACATGTGTAAGGAAAATAATCGAGGAAGAAGAGTACCTTTGCGACATCAAGAGGATTTACTATAAATACAGATAGAAAACCGGCTCCAGCGGCGGCAAACGCCCTTTCTGATAAACTCAAATTGAAGTCAGGCGACGAAGACATTATCTGATTCAATCAAAATGAAGAAGAATTTTGATTGGTCATATCTGCTGAAAGTTTTTCTCCGGGATGGCGACTGATCCAAGAACTCTTTTTGTTGCTAAAGCGCGGTTCCAGTTATGATGCTTCCGAGAAACACGTTGAGATGTAAAAAAAGATGAAAGAGATACTTCCTCCAGATGGAGCCTAAATAAACCTTGGATCAAAGAGATTAGAAGCGATCGATCGTTGTCTCTCGCAAGCGAGACAAGCGACGCCGCCGCGTCAGACCTATCATCTAGGCTTCCGGTGTACAAAAATCGCGATTTGCTCCCAAATTAAACACAAAATATGTTCATTAGCAGCGATCGGAAAGAGATGAGCCGATGTCAGAGGTGAGTTGAGGTAGATTCGGTAGTGGTGGAGGCGGATTAGGGTTTACAGAGAAAAGGAGGAGGGAAGGAAGGAGTGTTGGTAATTAGGGCAAGAGGGAAAGGAAGAAAAAGGGAGGCGGGCTTTTTAATTTTTTAATATTTCATTCCCCCCAGCTATTAAATGATGGAACGCGCGTTTCCATTAAAATTCATAAAGCGACATCTTTAGACGATACACATTTTATTATAGGCGCCCTCCGTGTTTTTTTAGACACTAATTTAATGGCTCGCAAAAATGCGCGTCCTAAATTCTTAAAAGTTATAGGGAGATGACATTATTTTTAGGTCACATACTTTTGCGTATCGTAAATCGAAGCGTATCATAAATTGCACGTCGTAAAGGCTGTTTTTCTAGTAGTGGCAGCGCCGATCAGAGATATCTGCCTGAGGATGACAGTGGTGACTCCGCTGTTGGAGCGGATTCGGGAGGCTCAGCAGGAGGCAATGAAGGAGGAACATCAGAAGAGCGAACGAATCGTGGGGTAGGTTTCCTCCTTTGACTATAACAGCCGAGGATTACTGACACTATACCATAAGGTGTGGGTGCCATACCATGGGGGTGTGCGCCAGGTTCTGATGGAGGAGGCGCACAAATCTCAGTTCTCCATTCATCCCGGGGCGACGAAGATGTATAGGGATCTTTGTCTGGACTATTGGTAGCCCTGCATGAAGCGGGATGTGACATGGTTCGTGGAGCGGTGCTTGACCTGCAGAAAGGTCAAGATTGAGCAACAGAGACCTCACGACAAGATGCAACCGTTGGATATTCCGTTGTGCAAATGGGAAGACATCACGATGGATTTTATCACTAAGCTGAAGGGTTTTGAGCATTCTAACACTCCTAAGTGTATCTGCAACCCTAAATACCTTGGATCTACGTTTTCTCTATTATAAATGCAAATATGAACTTTCCAAGGTATTCATCCTAACTAGCAAAATAACATTGATTCATATGGATATCTCAAGTTAGAATTACATACCTATTTGATGTAGAATGTCTTCATGAGGCTTTGGTGCCTAGTGCCCCAAGTGTGACACCTCAAATGGTTCACACAACACCAAATGCACATGGCATGACTTGAGAGAAATGGAACACTCCTTGAAATTGTCTTGCCCTTATATTCACACACTAGTGAATGATTTCTTGAGCCATGGGATTCTTTTATATGATGGCTATTAAGGTTACACCATGTAACTCCTAACTTTACCCATTCCTTATGATCCATGGATTATCCATGGGTCACCCCATGGACTTAGTCCAACATAAGGAATCTTGGATCACAAGCCCACATATATAAGAATGAATGATTTACACAATCAACCCATATATTTAATTAGTCTCCTTTTGATCACTTAATTAATTCAAAATTAATTCTTGATCAATACTAATTAAATAGCCTTATTAATATATTAGACCTTATAATATATTAACCAACCTTAAATGTTATTTCTCTCATTATAGTCTATCCAAATGCATGATGCCATGCAACCCAAATGGACCATGCCGGGTCGGGTCAAGTCTTACCAATTATAGTTATGGACATTAGTCCAACAGTCTCCCACTTGGACAAGTCTAATACTATTATTGCGTATGACTTCAAGAACCAACAGAAAATCGTAGCTCTCAAAAGCTTCTGTCGAACTCTGACCTTGTCGATTAACTCTGACCCTTCTCAATGACTTGTCCATTAGATAATGGATCATATATTCCTCCACTCTAAATATCATATGGACTAAGACATGGATTATAAATCATTCTCTCTGTCCATTTGTTGTTTCCTGATTTCCGATTCATGACAAATGACTGATTGAACAAATCAAATCAGTCCTGGCTTGGCCAAGCACTCACATGTATCATCATTAAATCATCGAGAGGCTCACAGATATCGCTTTTATCCTGAAGGTAAAAGGAATAGATAAACTTCGACTCATATGGCTTGTTCTACTACTTGTTGAATCATACACAAAGGCACATTTTATGACATCGAGTTACCAACGCGTTTTCGTGCAATCAATGTATAACCAAGTCATAGTAACAACTCATAGCTCTAGGTTTGAAGAATATAAGATATTATCGTCTCATGATCACTCGTGATAAAATCCATGAAGTGATTCCAATGAGTGTGGGTTGAATCTAATACTCAGAACTTATGAGCACTCATGAGTATTGTAGCACCACTTTGTCCAACATCTTAAACCTTTACAAGACAACCCATGACAGTATTGATTCATATCTACTTCCAACATATGACCGAATGTGGATATTTTGAATAAATTAGTCGTTGAGGAAGAACAACCTTGTTTATTATGGAAGTCAAAACATCAAAATGAAACACAAGAATAATTGAATCCAATATGATCTCAGAACTTATGAATATAAATAAAACACCTTTTATTTATCACCATATGATTACACATTATTCATTGCATACTGTTTTAGCTATCAACTTTATTCTTGAATTAAAACAATAGTTGTCCCATGCTCCAAACATTTACACTATGTTTTCTAAACACTAGTCATGCCATACACCAAATATGCACACTATGTTTGTCTATGATCTTTACATTGTGAAATAAACCAATTGAACCATGATTCTAATTTCACACTCCCAAATTCTTATTGTAAATGTAAGAATTCCAAATCCTTATCATTTATCAAAATCTGTTAGATTTTAAGCTTATATGCATTGGTCCTCTTGTAACGATTATGCACAAAGTCACAAAGACTTGTCAACAAACATTACAGAGTATTCCAATAGAGATGAACTCCATGGAACCGAAGTCTCATATTCAAAGTTCATTACCTTTGAACATTCTTCTTGCATTAAGTTTTCTAATCTTACACGGATAACTTCCACCTTCCCACCTTCCCATTTTGACTATCACTTCTGAACAAGAGTTGCCTCTTTTCAGAATATGTCAATATGGTCCTTCTAAAAATTAACACTATACTTCCAACTGTCCCTGAGCAACCAATCTTTGGTAAACCTTAGATTGTCCTCGATAATTGCTTAATCGTTTTAGTCATATCCAGTTCTATACCTTTTCCCTTCTTAATCCATAGGCATTTGGAAAATTTTAGAAAGGATGAATATAGCACATGTAATCGATCCTATATCTGAAGTATATGGGACACGATGTATGATGTCTCACATAAAGACTAAACCAGTCTTTTGCTATAATATTTCCATTTCTATTTGCCAAGTTCTCATAATTCAGATTATGAAAAGGGATGTCGTAATCATAATCGAATTTTAGAACGCAAATAATAGACCCATATATAGAATTTCCTTATGTTGAGCCAATCCAATGTGAAATTCATATATATATATATATATATATATATATATATATATATATATATATATATATATATATATATATATCCTTGACTAAATACGATTAAAACCTCAATCTAAGCTTTTAGATTTGAGATGAAGTATAATTTCCTCCCCCTTAATTATAGCAAAACAACTTTTTCCCAATTGAAACCTTTTGTTTTCTATAATTAACATTGCTAACTTGCAACCTTTATCATAATTATCATGCTCCCACTAACATGATGTTTATTAGCATAACACTTATGCTCCCACTAGCTTTGACATGTACTCAGAAATCAGTTGGACTTCTAGAAAAACAATACTTTATTGACTTTCTTAACAAAGTTCAGATTTCTGAATCTAGATTGCTTTGATAAAACTTTATCAATATCATACAACTTATCTTAGATGTCTCATAAGCATGTCTAAACAATTTAAGAACTATGAAAAAGGATGTCGTAATCATAGTCTTGATTGTTTAGACCTTAGCCACTTCCCACAAGTCCATGTTAGTGTGTCGGTTAACCACATACGCTCCACTAACGACTTTGAGAATGCAAATATCACAATTGATATCTAGCTAAAATCTACTTAGTGAAAGTGTTTCCTCACCATCATTTTCATGAATCAAAGAGAAACCTTATGACACTTAGATTTAATGGTGTATGTGTTCTTATCCATGTGAATTATCAAAACCATAGTCACAGTACAAGGATAACGACAAATCCAAACTCATATGGAATGAAATCAATCTTAATTTCTTGCCATCTGGCAGCTCAAGGGCCTGCCATTGCTTCTAAGTTGTTGTGCAACCAATTGAGAACTCTAAAAACTCATATGCAAAGCCAACTTTAATTGGAATGGGCACAAAATATGTCAACACGATATGTTATAAACCACAAGCTGTGTGCTAGTGAAGAATTTCAGGTTTTATTCTTGATTAGTTCTTGAGACTTTTAAGGCCTTCAAGACTCCCATTGTCCTCTTGACATATAAGACTTTCTTGTCAGATATTCAAGAGATAGTGTGGATTCTAATCAATACAAACACTTCACATAATTGGCCTTAGTTGGGTTTTTTTTATCCAAAACATCACAACTTACCAATTTCAATTGTACAAGAGTAGAAAAATTTTATTCTTTTAAACCTTCTTTAAGACATGTCACTCAAATTACAATCTTAGAGTATAACTCTAAGAATTGTTTTTTTTGGAACGAAGTATGAATCATCTTCTTGATTTAACCACTTCAACAATTCATAGCTCCTCTTC